TATTTTCATGCCTACTCTAGATTCAATCTTTTGGAATTTTTGGTTTTCTTTCGTCAATTTATTTTGATTATTTTTTTAGTTTAATGCTTAGCCTTCAAATTCTTTGGGTAATTAAACTTCATATCTAGTTTAATATTTAGTATTAATTAAATATGAAATTTGTGGTTAGATTTTAGACTCCTATAGACTTGTAGAAATTATTAATTTAATGTTTAGATTTTTTTTAATATTTAATATGGCTTGAATAACATTTAATTAAATTAGGTAATTAATAGGTGTATCACGAGTCGAGTCTCTCATTTTTGTAGGGATTAATGACGATTCTCTATCAACTTTGAAAAAAATAAAAAATAAAAAGAAAATGAGAAAAAAAATAAAACAATGATAAAAACATGAAAAGAAAAGGAAAAGAATAAAAAAATATTGAAAATTTTTAGATGAAAAATAATAAGTATCAAATCTAATAAGGAATGATGTTAATCCAAATCAATCATATTTTAATAATTATATCATTCTCCGACATACCGATTATGTTGAGATTGAAATTAGATTCGATATTGAATTTATGAGACTCCTAATGACGGGGTCCGATGATCAATTCAATATGATGTCATAAATAAATAAAAATTACTTTGACTTAGGTAATAAACTTGAAATTTTGACTTGAGAAATATTTTAGCAAAAATAAAAAATTTTAGAAGATAAGCATAATTAAGTCCTTACTCTAGAATCTCCGAATCGGTTCCATTTTTAGGTTTTTTGTTCTTTTAATACCAGGTGGTGACTTAAAAATATGATAGAACTCTTATCCCTAGTAAATAAACAAAACAAACAATTTCTAACATAATTTTTTAAAAGTCCCGTAAGTGTCGGATAGCAAAAAATTTAATCAATGACCATGCCATGCATTTCCATTTAAGCTATGGTCGTGCCATGCATTTCGGTTTAATTCATGATTGTGCCACATATTTCTAGTTAAATTGTGGCCGTGCCATGCAATTTTCAATAAAGTCACGGTTGTGCCATGCTTTTCTAGTCAAAGTCATAATTGTGCCACACATTTTTTTATTATTTAAATGTAAGTATATAAATCAAAATGTAACGAGCTGGAGAACTAACAAGAGTAGCATATACGGGATGTACAAAAAATTAGGAATGGGCTCCTAAAGAACAAAGCAAAAGAGATAGAACTAGAGGGTTGTTCGAGGAATCCGACATATGAGATTCTAGAAAAAACCAAACCGTGATCATGTACTAGCTAACTCGGAACCATGTATAAAGGCTTAACAAAGCATATAAAAAACTTTCGCCGATAAGCCCAAACGGATATAACGGAATCGAAGCATAACCGAAGCTAACCGAGGTAACAACCAAGGCTAGGCTTAGGGCGGCGAAGTGGGAGCCGTCAACCAACATTCAAGACACTATGATCCTTCTCATGAAGAAAAGAACTTGAAACTTTCGGAAGAGTCGGTCGATTAGGTAGTGAGTGCCATCGAAGAATCTCTTGTTCCTCTCTTCCCAAATAAGGTAAACCGTAATGCTCGGTGAGACTCCACACATTCTAGCTTCCAAATTATTCCTCCGAGAGAAAGGCCTCGGATGGCACTTCATAGGGTAGACATACTTCTCCGGATGCGCAGCCGGTGTCTAACCGTAGCCCACGAGCTCGATGTCCGGGCGTATTCAAAGAACAGTGGCTATGAGATTCGGGGCTAGCCGACATAGGGCACGAGTGACATCATTTGGAATAAAGCGAAGACGATCTATAGTTTTTAGTTTCCCTTTAATTGCTAACCGGAGAAGAAAAGCATGCCTCGGCAAAGCCCATTGTTCCCACTCCCTTGTTCCAATTAACCGACATACCCATCGGGCGAAGATCCCGATAAGCATTGCGGATGAATTTGGCTTGGCCCTAAGTTTCAATTCTTGCCTCAACTAGAGTGCTAGCCCCAAATTTTTCAATTAACCGATCACGGGTAGAGAGAATCGCCTTCCACATAGGGAGGCGATCCTGCGCACTAGGCAAGGAAGCACCGATTGAGTGTAGGCAAATGCCGGAGCGCCGGACCCCTTCTTCTTTCGGGTAGCACACCTTTTTCCAAGCTACCGGGGTAGAATGACTCCTTTTTATATCTTCGGTCCAAAAGAAGTTTCTACAAAGGTTGGTGATGCGGGAAAGAACCACTACGGAAGGGGAAAAATGGCCAACTAGAACCGAGTGATGCTTGCCAAGCATCGAACGCAAAAGTTCCAACCGACCAGCGTAAGATAGATGCTTCCCTATTCATGATTGGACTATCGATTTCAAGCTCTGTAAAAGAGGAAAGAACGGCTAGCCAATAGACGGTGGGGACCGAGTGGACCCCAAGGTATCGAAAGGGAAAGGTGCCTTTCGCAAACCCACTATCCTAAAGAAGAGCTCGCTCAGTCGCCGACAATGCCTCTAAAATAAATTGACAATTTGGTCGAATTTATAGTTAGGCCGCAGGTATTGCCAAAAGTGTATAGCCGGTGCGATAGGCACTAAACCGAGGGCTCGTCGTCTTGACAAAGCGAGCATAATATCATCCACAAACGTAATGCGACTAAATTTTTGGAACTCACACTACGAGTGAAATCGAAGTCGGTTCGTCAAAAGCGATCGAAACATGGGAGAGAAGTATTCCATGCACGCTATGAAGAGGTAGGGGAGAGAGGGCCCCTTGTTAAATCCCACCTTTGCCTTGGAAGAAGCCAAACAGGTTGCCATTCATTGAAACGAGTATGAGGGAGATTCCACACAAGCCATGACCAAGTGGACAAATACAGCAGGAAGCCAAGCTATAAGAGAAAGGCTCGTAGGAAAGACCATTGCACCGAATCACAAGCTTTCTTGAAGTCCACCTTCAAAAGGCATCGCGACGAGGGGCGCTTTCGGCCATATTGATGGAGCAATTCCCGGAGAAGATGGATATTGTCCGACATTTTTCTTTCACCTAAGAAAGCATTCTTCATAGGATCGATAACTTCAACCAAAGCTCTCGCTAACCTAGAAGAGAGAATTTTCAAGATCACCTTGTACACAACATTACAACATGAGATAGACCTAAAATCCGAAGGAGAAAAGGCATTAACGAGACTTGGGAATGAGGGCAATAACGGAATGGTTGACTTGTTTAAGCGGACGCCCCGAAGAAAAGAAGTCCTTCATAGCAACACATAAATCAGCCCCCACAACATCCCGGGCTTGCTTAAAAAACGGGGAGGAGTAACCGTCCGGACCCGGGACTTTGTCATTGTCAATCCCAAACAGAGTCTCATAGATTAGCTCACCGAAAACCGAGGCTAAGAGGAAGCCGTGAGAGCCGGAATCAAGGCAAGACTCGTTGGAAATAACATCACTATCAAGGGATGGGGTAGCTCGAGCGATACTCAACAGACTTTTGATAGTAGTCAACAAAGATGTGACCCACTGTAGAAAGAGAAGTTGTAGGTTGTCACTCGGCGTCTTTTATTACAAGCAATAGAGTTTCTCTTGTGATTTTGGTTCATGAGGGAGTGGTAAAACCGACCGCCCTCGTCACTCTCTTCTAGGAACTTGCATTTGAGCTTTTGGTTGAAAAATATTTTTTCGACGGACTTGAGGTTGACTAAACCTAGCTTCTATCGTCGCTCCTACTCTAGAAGGATGAGGTTATCCATGTCGGACCGTAAGGCTTGTCGAAGGTGAACAAGATCAACAATCGCTCCGGCCACTCGCTTAGAAATGTGGTTATAGTGGAGCTTGTTGAGTTCCATCAAAGGCCTTTTTAGAGCCTTTAGTTTTTGATATAAACTAAACATAGGAGCGCCTGCGGTGTCACGGAACCAATGACGATTAACCAGCTAGAGAAAGTTATCATTGGTGAGCCCACATGTTGAAAAAATTGAAAGGTTTTCGATCAAAGGGAGGTTGGTCGCCTATCCGAATCCAAGCTTGAGCATGATCGGAGAAGCCACCCGGGACCGAAATGGACAGAGACCGGGAGAGAAGACATAGACTATAGGGGGTTAGCTAGGACTCGTCAATCTTAGTCAAGACACTCCCACTATTCCAAGTAAATTGGTCGCCCATGTACGTGAGGTCCTTAAGGCCAAGATCCAAGCACATGAGCGGAAGTCCGATGTCTCATAAGTAGACCTTGTCGCACCATTGTGCTTATCTTCCTATGAGAGGATGGATTTGAAGTCCCCAAGCACGAGTCACCGACTTTTGGGATTCCATTTACGAAGGTCCTCCCAAAGCTTCCCTCGTTGAGTGATTATATTAAAGCCATATACAAAAGTGGCATGGAACGACGACCGGTGAATGAGGCTACGAATGCGGACGTGCAGCCCTTTGGCAATAACATCAAGAGGATCAATCAATATTGTATCCGGGTTCCAAAAGAGGACAATTCGTGCTTTGGAGGCATCGGAGGCATTGGAGACAACCCGCCACCGCTCGAGTCGAAACTTATGCTCGTTGAGCTAGCTTAACGAGGCGAGCTTGGTTTCGACCAAAGCGCAAACAACTAACTTCTTCATTCGCAAGAGGCCTCGTAACCTTATGCTTGTTTTAGGGGACTATTTAGGCCCCTAACATTCCAACAAAGCATAATCATGGAACAGTTCGAGGAGGTCAAAACCCCCTTAGCACTTTGTTTGGACTTCCTAATCTTTTGCTACTCCGGCAACTCTTGGGCGTGCACTCTGTAAGACCTGTTGCCTAGGGTGCTGCTCGGCATAATTGAAACCGCCAAATCCGACCGAGTCCCTATATTGGCACCCGGATCCTCCTTAATCGGAGCCGAGCCTCACAAGCCATCTCAACGTTGAGAGCCTACCTTGCTATCCCCGGGCTCGGCCGATCCGTCGAGGCTTGCCGACATTACGCTAGCGAGTTTTCATTATGTCCCCCTACCTCGAGCGAAGCTCCAAACCGGAAGGCCCTACCTCAACTACCTTACCCTTATCCGGCCGAGCAGCATTCTAGAGGCCTAGACATGATCGAGTGTCCTAAGCCGCACATGAGTAGGCCGCCCCAACCGAGAAGGCGAAAGCCGCCGCGACCGATGCTTACGATTAGAGCGAGATTTTATGTTAGCTCTTTCAATAACCGTTACCCACTCCCCGACAGCGCCATCGCCTCGAAACCATAGGGTCAAACCGAATAGCCTCTTATGAAACACCGGCATAACTAGCGAGCACGGCCGAGCCCACCCTCTTAGCAACATTAATCTTGGCTGGAGAGTGACTCGTAGTCCCATTAGCTCCGACATCCTTGCTCGAACTAACCGCTGGTGTTTGCCTCCCCAAGCGACAATAGAATGTTTCGAAACCCGATAAGTCTTGCAATGCGTAGGTAAGGTTTCATACACAACCTCGCTGGAGGAGGGTGGTTGGGCAACCCAATGTTGATGATTTTTGAAAGCTCCTCCATTATGTTGAGTTCCACCAAAACCCTAGTGTAGGAAATCCTTTCCATAGAGGCTATGAGCTAATCACAATGGATAGGTTTGCCCAGTGGACTTGCAACTTTCGAAAGACACAAGGGAGACCAAGTGGTTAAGGGGAGATTAGGAAATTTCACCCAACCGGCACCAACGACATCTCCTTATTCGAAAAATCAAAGGAGTCGGGCATGGACCTAAGCAATAAGTGGTCGTCCAAAGATCAAGTATGAGCCTCCGTTTAGCACCGATAACTTATCTTTTTCGAAGGAAAATTTATAAACAAGCCAACCGAGTCATGAATAGATAGATTAGCTTTGCATTTTCATGTACTATCAATAATCTCGTTGAGGGCTCAAAAACCCAAAGATTTCCACATTTCACATGTTGGGTCATCGCTAAGCAAGACACGAGCTTTACTTTTAATTATGGCGATAAAATGAGTGAGCTTAGGGCACAATTCAGCATTACGATTAGTAGCAAATAGGTCTCACCATTTGGCATTAGGGAGTTGAGATGTACCTAGGCCAGCTGGAGTTTGAGGGTTAGGGCGGCTTCTAGTCGGAGGTCTAGCCAAGCCCGATGGAGAGGAAGCAACCTTCACCCGACCCTCTATTGGTCACACTCGTCGGTGATAGGTCCATCATTCCGAGGGGGAAGAGGTCGAAGATGAGCGAGTGGGAGTGTTTGTCTCGGTAACCATTTAGGCGAGAAATTTGGAGGTTAAAAATTTTTGACGCGAACCTAAATTTTCACTCAAATCCGAAATTTTAGATTTTGAGAATTTTGGGCGAGAACCCAAATTTTCATTCGAGCTTTGGGCGGGAATCAAAATTTTCATTCAGCTACGAATCTATAGAGCTCTCTTCCTCGTTTGAATTTGATTCGTCTTCATCAAAACCCGAATCTTCTTCACTAGAGTCATCTTCTATAGCCACATTCACGAGTGGAGTAGTTTTGGCAATTAAGTTGGACCCAACGACCATAGAAGTGGCAGATTTGAGTCGTGGAGTAGTGTCCGAAACGAGAGGGCACTGGAAGAGGGTTATTCGGAACAGTCAGAGCAATAACCGGTGCAGCTAGTGGTTCCTTCATCGTAGATACCGATTTCTTCTTCTTTTTGGCCATGGCCCGAGAAATAGAAGGCGAGAGAGACACCAAGTTGGGGAAAGAGAAAAAAGAGAAGGAAGGAGAAAGGAATGGGGAGAGAGAAATCGAGGGGAGGGGGAAAACGAAAGGAGAAAGAGGGGAAGGTGAGCGATAATATAAAGGGGGAGGGGGAAGGCTGGAGAGGGAGCGAGAAGGTTATAGGGCGTAAAGGTCGCTGAAGGCGCCGACCGGAGCTGGAGGAAAGATCTCCATAGGACGAGAGCATCTCTCTCTTCTTTCTCTCTCGTGGGGCGTGCACCGAGAGCCGCCACACATTTTTATTCATATCTATGGTTACGCTGCACATGCGCTCCATAGAGTTCACTATTCCGTTATTTTTGCATAAAATTTTTATTTTTTTGTTTCTTTCTAAGCTTGCAATGCAAAACCAAAGAAAAATGTTTTTCGGTGACTTTGCATCATAAGTATTGTAAATAAGGAGCAAGTGTCAGCAACCAATTTTTTATCCTATTTATTTTTATAAATTCTTCAAAAATATAAAAAAGGAAAATACAAAAAAAAAAAAAAGAAGAAGAGGGAATTATGAAGTTGGAATTATGAAGTTGGAATTAAAAGATTTGAGAAATTAAGACCAATAGAAATCTAATTGGGGGATATAATTGAAATGGTTTAAAACTTGATAATTCAATTAAAGGTAAAGAGGAGCACGATAAAAGAAATGAAGGAGAACAAAGGGCCTAAATAATTTGAATTAGGGGCATGATCAAAAGAAAATAAAAAAGATATACACTAAAATTGAAACAGGTAAAAGAATTAGTGACCAAAGTTGATCTTTTCCTAATTATTTTTCCCATAAATACCTTACATGTTCAACTATTTGGAAAAAAAGGTTACAGATTCCAAAACAAAAACCTATTGTTGATCCCAAAAAATAAAATTATCCATACGAGTGACTTAGTATCCAAATTATCCACGGATCAACCCGTATACGTGTCGAAGTTCATCCCTCAAATCAATTATCCTCCAACCAAAATTACCTCCATCCACCACCATTAATAGATATCCCACCACTAGATCCATCATTTTTTACCGGTCGGGGAAGAAGAAGATGCTGGAAAAGGTCAAAATCGATGAGAGAAGGCCAATGATGCAACCTAATTTTGAACTCGTATATATCACCATTTTTCGACCAAATCAACAACCCCCACCACCATAGAAGTGTCCCTCATCCTCCTATAAGTTTTTCTCCCTATAAATCATGATGAAATCTCACTAAAATTGGTTGATTCGAAGAGAAGATGAGCCAATTGACCCATTTATCCCATACTTAGTCAAATCTTCTCGATCAAGCCAAATTAGACCTCCTAACCATCGTAGAAATGCTCCTCATTGTCCTTTTAGCGGCTTGTTATCATCTATATGCCTCGTTGTGGCTAGAATCTTCATCTAAAAAAGAGGAAGAGATGATTTGAACCGTTGATGTTGATCTCCCTCCTCCATAAATGTCAACTACTGTCACCACCATGAATGATCGGTGAGTACTTCCTTGAGCATGTAGATCAATCAACATGCATGAAGCACATTGAATGGTAATCGGAGTAAGCGGCAGTAACGCTCGTGGGTTTTGAGGGGCATTTTGGTAATTTAGACATATAAGGGCATTTTGGTAATTTTTATATACATGGCCATTTTGGTCATTTTACAACTTGCTAGGGCATTTTTGTCATTTGAAGCAGCATTCCAAGAGGGCTTTGGTCACTCTTTAGTGACCACTTTGTTTATTTCTCTTACTTTTTTTAATTACTTCATTATGTTATTTTTAATAACGTTTAATTTTGTTGGTGTTAAAAAATCTAAAAATATTTAGTTTGTGAAATTTATTTTAATGTATGGATTTATTTTGCTTGTGATGTCACACCAATGAGTTTCTTATTTATTAGAGACAAATGAGGATTTCAATATATTTTATCTAATTGCAAAAAAAAAAAAAAAAGAATAATAAGGATGCTTTTCTTTCTTATTAGATTCATTAGAAAAATTTAAGTTGACCTACCGAGTCTCTTATTTGAATAGGAACTAATGTTGGCCTTGAACCACAGTAAAAAATAAACCATAAAAAATAAAATAAAAGAAAGATAATTAGTTCGGATAAGTGCAAAATCAAAATAAAACACCTTTAGTTCAATAAAGGAAAATAACAAAAAAGGAAAGGAAGAATTTTAAGCAAATTTAATGAATTTCCCATCCAATAGGGAAGGACATTATTAATTCAAATCAGTCACCTATGTAATTAGCTCGTTCTTCGACATACAAATTATGTCAAAACTTAAACTCGGATCCGATGCGAATTGACGAGACTCTCGACGAAAAGGTCCAACGATCAATTCAATATGATGCTACAAAGAAAAAAATAAATTTGACTTAGGTTATAAAATTGAAATTTTTACTTGAGAAATAATTTGGGAAAAATAGAAATTTTTAGAAGTAAAATTTTAGGATTAAACCGAAGTGGCACCTTATCTCAAAAAGAGTGCTTTTGAGTGATTGAAATCTTTTTAAAAATTCAACCAATTCATTATCCTAGAATCTCTAAATTAGTATCATTTTTAGGTATTCTAGTTTCTTAAATACTAGGTGATCACTCTAAAATATGATTTAACTCACATCCCTAGTAAATAACCAAATAAACAATTTTTAATAGATTTTTTGAAAGTCTCCTAAATGTCGAGCAACGACAATAAGAATGTGAATATTAACTCAAACCACTAAAGATCCAAGTTTTCTTCAAATTTATAGAAAAAAATGAATTTTAACCAAGTAAAGTATAACAAATAAATGCCAACAAAAATCAAGATAGATCCATTCAGCTTTTTAGCCTCCCCTCCTTTTTTTTCTTTCAAGGGTGTGTTTGTCAAGAAAGATGGAGCGAAGGATGGATGAGGAATGAAAAGTAAAGATTAAGTGCTCATTTTGTTTGACTAGAAAAATGAGAAATAAAAATAAAAATAAAGTGTTTATCCTTCATAAAAGTATGTTATTTAGCATGGATAAATTTATTTGGATGGTATAAAATTTTAATATTTTTCTCTATTGAAATAAAAAAAAATTATGATTATTGAATAGTCTTAAGATAGTGAAATAGAAAAAATGAAATGTGAAAAAAAATTATAAATATAACATGAATAATAACATAATATAAGAGTAAAGCAACTATTTGTAAGAAGGCTAAAAAGGTCTAACTATCCTTGAATTTTAAATCATTTGAGGTTGAGTCCTAGAATTTTTATTGGTTTTAGAGACTCCTAAGCTTTTAAATTTTTGAGATTTAATCCACTCAACAATTTTTAGTTGTCATCTTTTCCTCTTATATATATATATATATATATAATTCTTAGTATTTTGAGTTGACATTTTACGCACACGTTGGAAAAAAAATCAATTTATTTTGTAGAAAATTTCTAGAATTTTTCAAAATTAAAATTATATATGTATACTTTTTGAACATTCAAAAAATAAAAAAAACAAGCAAATAGAAAATAATTTTGAAATGATTACTAATTTTTTGAGTAGGCCTAAATAAATTTCCCTAAAAAAAATTTTATCATAAAATTATTGATATGATTATTATTTTTTGAGAAAAATAACAAAAACTTGAAAGATTGGTTAAATTTGAAAAAAAAAAAAAGTTGAGATTTTTGAAACCAATAAAAAATCTTGAA